AATATAAGGGAGATTGATGGAAAAAAACTAAGTACATAAGGATAATAATTAGTCATACATTTTTGTCCGGCTTGGACCACAGTATGTTTTAGAGTGCAATATTCAGCAAGCCACTCAAAATCCAAGGGTGACACTTGGTCTCAAAAGAGTCGAAAACATGTGGCCTATGTCTGGACATTGAAATCTGGAGACTATGTCCATAGACTTTTTAAATAGATGGCAAGCTAGAGGGGCCTCATATTCTTGGGTGCATAGCTTTGTGCTAATTTTTCCACTTTTATGGACTACCCATATTATCAGTTTCCACTTATCTGAGCTGGAAAAACAAGAAAAGAACAAAAAGTAACTTCGTTTCTGGTGGCCATTATATTACAGCATTATGGAGGTTTCAATAGTCCTTACATCCCTCATAAAATCCCAGTCGATTTTAAAGGGCTTTAGCTTGCATATTTAATTTCTTCCTGCTGAGAAGCGGGGGAAATTAAGCATTGGACAATCCATCCAAAATATTATTCACTGGGTTCCCACATTCTTAATTCTGTACAGGATTCTGACCACTGAGCTGGCAATAGCAACCATTCTTTGAACTGAGAGAAATGTTGCTACCATCTCTATTTATCTCCTTCCAAAAACTGTGTGCCTACAATGGTTCAGGATATTTCGCCAGAGACATATGGACATCTGTAAGCCTTTTGTAATTTTTTGTTTTTTTTTAAATCACCAGGCTGGCTTTCTTGTCTGGATTCTGTAAATGCCCAGCTTTGTGAAACTACAGCAGGTGCTGCTCAATAGCATATTGACACAAAAATTAATGTTTATTTTGAAGGATGCCATTTTGCACTACAGCCAATCACCTATTGTTTCAGCAAACACAGAATTTCTCTCTCCTCCATTTTCCCTGTGTGCCTATTTCTGCAGTCATTGGGAAAAGAGAGACACTAAATTTCTGATAATAACTATCAGACTAAATATGGTGCACGCATTGAATGGTCTTATGTTTTATGGGCCGTCGTGCCTTCATTCTAAATTCTAAAGCTGAAGTCCAGCATCATCTCTTTGCTCCATAGAAGAGAGTGTGAGCTATATAGGATGCATATTAAAGTATTTAAAACTGCTCTGAGTACCATGATCTATCAGCAATGTTATTAATAGAAATGAATGTCTCAATAGTGGCTGATTGACAGTTGTTCTGCCAAACAACACTAAGCAAAATCATTCCAAGACTAAAGCAGCTCTTTTTCACGTGACTCAGACCTGCCAACTTCAAAGCCACTTCATATCAAGTCCATTGAAAATACAATACAGAAAACATGGAACATGATATGAACAAAAACAACTAGATATAGAGGAGGCATATAGCAATAGCACTTATATACCATTTCATAGCATTTTACAGCCCTCTCTAAGCAATTTATAGAGCCAGCATATTACCCCCAACAATCTGGGACTTCATTTTACCAACCTGGAAGGCATAGTCAATCTTGAGCCAGTGAGGATCGAACTGCTGGCAGTCAGCAGAATTAATCTACAATACTGCATTCTAACTGCTGCGCCAACATGGCTCACCCAATGCATGATCATCATCTTCTCACTGTATATGTATGCGTACACATACAAACAAAATGCATTATGATCTCCATATAATTATTTCCATATAATTGCTGAAAACATGTGAAACCTATCCCAACAAGTCCCATTTCAAGCCAACTGATGAGAAAATCCTCTCAAGATTACACAATGTTTCATATGCATACATGTTTCCCCGAAAATAAGACCCTGTCTTATAGTTTTTTTGAACCCTGAAATAAGCGCTTGGCCTTATTGCCACGCACTCAAAAGCCCAATTGGGCTTATTATCAGGGGATATCTTATTTGGGGGGAAACAGGATACAAATGTAAATGCCTCTCTGCTTACCGTGACCTGGATGATTGAGAATCTCCATAGACCTCTATCTACTTACGAAAAAGAACACTGAACATCAAGTCAATTGAATAAAACCTAAACCAACTCCAGAAGAAATGAATAGATGCATTTGTGTTAATTGGATACGAAAGCTTCCTTTGACACACCAGTCTTGGTTGTTAGAACCAATGCCGCACAAACACACAGGCACGCTGTTCTGCCTCTCTCCTACTCCACATCCAGCAAATATAAAAGCTTAAAGCTTTTGTAAAGCAATACATTTTATTACTCTCCCTCTCATTCTCCAGTTCAATTGACATTCTTGTGGTTTGTACAATTAAGATGCCTCAGCATGAGATGATAGTTTTAATATTTACTTTACCCAATCTCCTCCGCTGGAAAGAAAATTCTGGGCTGCATTGATCCAATCCCCATTTTTAAAGCAGGGAATTCTTTGGTGCCCACGGAAAGCAATGAGCAGGCACACATGCAGACACTCCACAGAACTTTATCAGCAATTTTAAAGAATCCAATACTGTTATTATTTGGCCGTGCTTCTATTAGCATTTTAAAAAATGAAGTGGGTGGGGAAATTACCATAAAGTTTAAATGGATAGCTAAGAAATCCTTGTAACACATTCTGTTGTGCCAGGGAAATGAACCATGAGGTCAGAATATATGCTAATCTAACATTTGTCTCCACAATTAAAAAATAACCTAGAATGACCATTGGGTGCACTGCCCTACAGGGATCACAAAGAAATCATGCCTGAAACACAGTTTGCCGTCGATAATGGATGTGCATCTTTTGTATTCCAGGGCAGGTGATTTATTAAATATATACATAAATAAATACATAGTTAATTGATGTGGTTAATGATAAAGCAAGAGTTTCTCTAGAACGCAAACATTGTAACATACAAGATTGCAATACATCAGATCAGACCATTAAACCATACAGACCAAATACAGGTTAGACCATGAACGAAGCCAATCTTGTGGTATCAGGGGATCCTTTCCTTATGCATATGGTTACCTGAAGAGCTGTTTGCTATGCAATCCCAGGATTGCATAGCAAACAGGATTGCAAAAAAGCTCATTCTTGAATGCTATTATTAAATGGACAATTTAGATAAGATAGTGACCTGGGCTTCATCATTAGTGCATCAGGGCATCCTGTCTTCTGCTGTAGTTGCACCCAGTTTGGGAAATCTGGACATAGCAGCCATGCTATATCCTCAGGACAATTAGACCACATGAATGAAGGCAAATTATAGTGTCCCAAGATAACGAGATCCAGTTCGGATCGATAACGAGATCCAGTTCGGATCGATCACCGGGACCTGAGGTTTACTCTTTAGTCTTTTTAATTTTTAGTTAGACCACAATTTACAGGAATGCCCCGGGCCTCATTCTATCTGCTGGACATGAAGTGCTGTCTTTTATTGTGTTCTAAGAAAGACAAATTCTTGTCTAACTTTCCATATCTATCTCTGCTTAAGTTATTGTTCCATGAACACAGATATCCTGGTGAATGAGTTATTGGAACATAGATCCAGAAGATCCTCTGAAAAAAGAATGTGAAGCCACTGGTCTGCTTTCAAACTCTTAAATAAGTCTTTCCTAATGTTTCTGTGAACTGGAAATGTCAGTGATTAAAACAGAGACCTTTTGCATTCCCCCCAAGCTATGGTCTACTGAGCTGTGAAAATTGTGTAAAGAGATGCCCTCTAGACATATTTGTCCACAACTTCCATAATTCCTAGAGAAGACAGCAAAAAATATCTACAGGCAAAAGGCAAAATGTGGAGATATTTGCTGGAGACAAATTCCCTTGTCCCGATCTTTTCTCATTACCCACCCACCTCCTCCTTTTCCCTCTTAAACTGTAAAGAAACATTTACGGTAAGTGAGTCTTCGCATACTTGTATCTACATTGCTTAAGAAACCCCTTGATTAAATAGTTTGCAGTTGACTTTTAAAAAAAAAACTGTATTAAATATATTTCAGTCAGAAATATATTTCTGATTGATGCATTTCTACATTAATAACATTAATATATTAATGCATTTCTGCATTAATAACATTAATATATTTACACATTTAAGACTGCAAAGAGGAAATAATATTCATGTATAAAAGGTCTTCAAGTCCTTATATATATATATATATTCCCTTTAGGTCTCCCTTCACTTGGTATATACTAATATACTAATATTAGTATATAAATATACTAATATTAGTATATAAATATACTAATTTATACTGACTGAAATCGCACACGAGAACTTTTCACTCATCAGAGCAGACTAATATCTCATTAAATGTTCTCAAAACCAGTTTGTGGGTTTCACCTACAAATTCTCTTTGATACCATCATGACTTTGCTACTGCTTAAATTAATTGCTAGGGGCTGACACAATATTAAAAGTGGCTTCTTTATTACTAGCCAATAGGTAGAAAAATAGTTTTTCTAAGTTGGAGAATCCTCCAGAAAGCCATTTTGCAATCGAGAGAAAAAAAATGAGTGTGCCACCCACGCTAGTTTCTACAAAGACAAGGGTGGCTCGTGATCAAGCGGAATGAATGGGATCACAGGAAAGGCTTGGTGAGCACGTTGCTCTAATGCCAAAAAACAAACATACCCAAGAACATTTCAACCAAAAAGAAAAAAGAAGAGGAAAAATCCCTAAAGTCATTGGGGAAAAAAAAGTTCCATAAAAAGCAAACATAGGACTGTTGTCAGGAGAAAAAATAATCCAAAATTTATATGAAGACAATGACTGCATGAGGTAATTCAGGTTCATAAAGAAAACAAAAACTTCAATCTTCTGTCAAAAAGGACCAGAAAAAAAATGGAAGAGGTCAGATGGTTCCCCCTTACCACCATCACCTTTGCAGTATTTGTCCATCCAATGCTGTGCTTCACCTTACAGATTTCAGGCTTAATATCCCTTTTAGCGCCATAAAACTACCAACCCCTTTTCTTCTCCATCTATTCTCTCTCTTCTAGAACTTCAGATTAGAGGGGGGGGGTTGGTTTTTTTTGTTGTTGTTGTTGGTTTTTTTTTGTTTTGTTTTTTGTTTTTGTTTTTTTGGAATATAGTGCACTTGTGGACTTTAACTGATAAATTTTCCTGGGAGATCGATGGCCTGCAGATAAACAATAGATATTCCCAAATATTCTTCACACAACAAATGAAAACACAGCACAGCACAGCACCTGAATGTATGGGCACCTTAAGGAGGGAAAGCAAAAGCTAAAATGAAACCATGACTTAAGTAAGACACTGGGACATGAAAAGTGTTCTGATCTTGTAACATACTTAAAAAAAAAAAATTAAACCACCCAGAGTCACTTAGGTGACATGGGCAGTATAGAAATGTATTCAATCGATAAATAAAAGTTTAAAAATTCACATCCTTTTTTCATGATCATCTATACCAGTGCCAGAATACAATTTAGGCTTATTCAGACATGCTGAATGTGCTTTGTTGGATTGGGGCTCTTTGGATGAATGCGTTGACTATGAAACTGAGATCAGTCACTTGTGAAATCTATTTATGCCCGCAGGAAAGAGGCATGTGTTTGACTGTCCAGCTTGCCCATGCTTGACTGCGGAAAGGTCTTTGTGCTACAGAGGCAAGCAAATGATCCTTCTGATGTACAAAATGTTACAGGAACGATTAGAGCTATTTTTACCAACTCTGCCAATTCGGGCAGTGAAGTTTCTCCCTCCAATGCCTACCCTACACTAGAACTACTAGCAGCTGTAGGTTGCTCAGTAACAGTTCAAGACACAGCCCTTGAGTCAGTGGTGGGTTGCTACCGGTTCACCCCGGGTCATGCGAACCGGTAGTGTTGGTGGTGGGAGGCTCCGCCCACCTGCCCGGATGTCTCTGCGCATGCGCAGAAGCATCGCGTGTGAGCAGAAGCACACCCACAAGCAAACCGGTAGCAGCCGAAATTGAAACCCACTACTTCCTTGAGTCAATTGAAACCCAGGATTACTCTTCAGCTTTCGGTTCTGGAAAACCTTCAGTAAATGGATAGATTGATTTTTCCTAAATTTGCAGTTTAGCTGAACTAGATCAGGTCATTAGTTTGTTAAGGAGAGGCAGACTGAGCCCACAGACAGGCCTGCTGAAGTCCCTCACTTCTTCCCTCTCTATAGTGCCCCCTGGTGGGGAGGCTGGTTCTGACTATACCTTGGTAAGATCAAGAATTCTGTGTGCTTTGTATTTTGAACCACAGTAGATACTTTTCTTTCTTGTAATCAGGGCTTCCCTTCTTATTATAGGAGTGCGGAGACACCAATTGATTTGGCAGCCCAGCCCAGAAAAAGGGGTTAGTCCATGGAATCCAAAAGGATAAATGTATCTCATGTAAAACAATATGAATTCCTTCCACATATATAATTAATTATACATAATTCAAGACCTGATTATGATTTCTAGATCTGTAATCTAAAAGGCATTAGCTACATTTAGTAGGACAGCTCTAGATGCAACCTTCAAGTTTAGAAGCATTGCACCTCAGAATAGTCTATACACTCTGTGGTAATAAATATACTTCTTTATGCATGTTTATATTCACAAATATTCAATCAATTTTAGAGAGGTAGAATTTAAAATGGATGGTATAGAATTTTCAGCAGAATCTTATGATTTGGCTTTCATTCATTTATGGTAAGGATAGCCCACGAATCCTCAATAATATGCACATACATCCATTCTGGCAGTTATTTCCACCCCCCATCTCCTACTTATTTAATTCAGCTCACATGAAACCCAGTATTTTCTTCTTTTGCACTATCTTAGGAAAAAAAACTTTAGATTTTGTTTATGGCATTGAACATCTTGGAATAATTATATTAAGGCTTCTAGAAGCATTCGTGGAGGAACCTGTAAATCTTATCTAGTTGACTTCTATGGCTATAAACCTAGGATTTCCAGTATGAGATGTTTGCTTTATTGGTCCTGATCTGAAATTATGTACCCTGAAAAATGAAAATTCACTGAATCTAAGCATGAACCTGGTGCTTTAGTTTCATTAGAATGAGATAACATTTCCCCATTAAGCTTTTTTTTATGAATGTATGAAAGCATTTGTTGGTCCATATTCCCACCACAAGGAATAAAAGACATAGATTCTTGTTTGGAATTTGTTACAGAATTACTCTTTTTCAGGACTTGGTAACTCTTCATTTTCTACTAGATAATCTTTCTTTGCATAATTGGCCCCCCTAATTAACCTCCATATTCCAAGATAGGCATTCTTTAGTGAGTTTCTATTAAGTTCTTCGGTACTACCATCTACTGGAACAAGAGTAGCATTTCTTTCTTCTCCAGTGCTGCCCATCTCTTCTGTGCTGTGCTGTTTGTTTTCATCTGCTGACTCCTCCATTATTGGATCTCCAGATTCTGCCTCCTTAGGCATCTCCTCCATTGAAAAGGGTGGTTGACTTCCCTCATAGTCTTTCTTCTCTTCTTCTCTAAGTTCCTCTTCCAGATCTTCATAATTACTCTGTTTCCTTGTCTCAATAAACTTGACTATACAATAGGTGATGGATCCTACAGTGTTTACTGCCACGCCTGCTATGAACAGCTTTGTGGGTTCCACATCATTGAACGCTACCATCCCAACGGTGATGGTTGCAATGCTCTTCACAACACCAACAAAACTAGTGGTTACAGCTGAGTTGATGTAAGTGCAATGAAGGGTTGTAAAATTCATGGCACAGCCCAATAAGACACAGGCAAAAAAGATGAATGTCATGAGGGGATCTTTCCATCCTGGGAATGACCAGATATTGATGGCTTCCATGCTGACAAAGGCGAATAGGATGAGAAAAGGTGTGGCTGAAACGGCAATGGCATATTGGGCTGTCAGAGGCCCGTAGTCACTATCTGCACTCATCTTTTGAATCACAACCAAATATCCTGCATGTACCAACACAGCCAGAACTCCGGTGACATACCCAATGGGATCACCAGTCAGGTCACCCGCACCTGCCAATTTTGAAAAGAAAGAGAGAGAAAATTTACATGCACTTGAAATATATTTCATCATCGTTATATGAACTACATCAGTAGAAGATCGGCTTTGATGAGAGCTACAAGGATTTTAGGATACATGGAATAAACTGCTAAGAAGAGCTATCATCAATTTACTTGGGAACTGTTTGGGAATAAGCATATCTGGCCAATGTTGGGAAAAAAGTTGAACTAGAAAAGTTTTGAATAAATCTGTTAACCTTATATTCCTGTATTAATTTATGAATGTTCTACTTTCAGGCAAGGCACTAAAACTTTTTCTTTCGGTGATTAAGTTCCAAACATCCTTAGTCAACAGAGCCAATGCAAAGACAAGTGATAATGGAAATGTTTGTTGAAAAGATCTATAGGATAACAGAACCATCTACTCTAATTCTACTTACTGACAACCATTCATCAAATTTATCTACCGATAACCTGAAATAAGGTACAGCATGAGTAAAGAGAATCTAAAATGAACAACCTGTCAGAATTAGACTGGTTCAAACTCAAAAATGAACCATCAATGATAGAAACCAGATTTTGAAGCTGAGTCCATTCTTAGATAGATAACTTAATCTTGCAGAGCTAATACCAATTAGGATTTATTCTGAGTGGTAAACTATGTATGGTTTAACAATGTTAGATTGAGGCACAGCAATGACTGCCTGGATTAGGGTTATTATTGTGGATATTAATTTTTTTGTATTTTACCTCAATTCAACTTTTGAGGATAATATTCTTAAAGCATTGTTGGAAGCCCTGAACCATCTGGAATGAGCTCCCCCTGGAGATACGGAGGATCCCGGATCTGCGCTCCTTCCGCCGTGCTGTGAAGACCTTTTTATTCCATCAAGCGGGCTTGGCCTGATCTCTTCCCTTTTTAAAATATGTAAATTTTAATCTGTTTTTAAATTATTGGGGTATTTTAATTTGTCTGGGCCAAAAAGTTTAATTTGATTTTATCGGGTTTTTAAATTTTGTGTATTTATGTATTTTATTGTTGGCTGTTCACCGCCCTGAGTCCTTCGGGAGTAGGGCGGTATACAAATCAAATAAATCAAATAAATAAAATAAATCAGATAAAGCTAATCTGTACAAATTTCACAAGTATTGCTTAGGATCATCTTTAATTTTACTGTTCCAATGATTTGCAGGAAAATTCAACATAGAAGCGTCTGCACAATGAGGATTACTTTTTCTCTCTCATTTAATGGGCATGGTGTTATCCAATGGAACAGGATACTGCTCAGTATTCAGATTAGATAAAGAGGAGAATTTCATCAACTTTCCAAAATTAAACTACAAAATGTACTGCAATAAGATGTAAAGACGATTCTCTCTTTTTTTTAGGAATTAAGTCAAATTTAAGACATACAATTTTCTCTGTTGCTCTCAGTCAATAATAATAATAATTCAAATCCAACCATAATCAAACATCATTTCTTTAATATTAAACATTAAAAACAATAGAACAATTTAATAAGAGGGAGTGATATTTTTAAAAAGCTGCTTAAAATCAATCAAAACTAACTATAAAATAACCAAGATAGCTGTAGTCATAATGGCTATAAAATGCTTTTCGTATCTAAGGCAGCATTTCTGAACACCAGCTGTTAAGAAATAACAAGAGAGGACTATTGGCCACATGTCCTATTTGTGATGGCCCCAGAAGCAGCTGGTTGGCTACTATGGAAACAGAATTGTGGACCAGATTGGCTCTTTGATCTGATCCAACATGGCTATTATGTTCTTATGACTGTAATTAAGAATTAAAGCATAGGAGTGAGCAGAATTTTCTTCAAGTGGCAAGGTTTCCCTTTCTTCATTTGGTCGGATTATAAAACTAGAGACACAGATTCAAAGTTAGAGGCAAAATCAGGACATTTTTTGCTATTGCTGTATAGGGGGAAAAAATTATAAAAAGGCAGCACGGATAATCTCAGTAATACAAAGAGATGTTCACAATTGTATCCGGAGACCTATTTCAAATAGTTCTCATTGCTGGATATTTCTAAGGAAGCATAGCATGACTATAGCAGTATAGCCGTAGATAACACGTACCAAAAAATAAATAAATCCCTAAGCATAAAAAAGAGCTTCAAAAATGAAAATGTGTTTTGGATTTTTTCTTTTATTATTTTTTTTTAAGACAAATAAATTAAAACATCTAATGACGTTCTTTTAGAACAGTTGTGAAAACCATGCCACTGGGAGCATGTAGATTCAATATTAACATTTACAAAGGCCTTATGTCACAGAAACATACGTGAAAATGTAATTGTCTACTATTGGTACTTCAGAAAGTAGTCAGATCTGTTTAGAGGGTGCATGTTTACAGTAGTTGGTTGTTAATGATCAAATTTTCACAAATTTCCAGGCAAAACAAAAACTTTCTGTCCCCAGTAGAAAATAAATACAAACCCTCTTTTAATAATGATAACAATAACAAGAAGATGTCACTTAGAACTGCCTGAACATTTTATTCATTTATATTCAGCTCAGACATTTTTATGTCGACCTGAAAGCAAAGGACAATCAACCCAAGATTTTAACATTACTGTATATTTCAATCCCTTACTCCCACTTGCTATACTATGCACTCCAGAAACTCTGATAACTCAATTATTGTTTCCTTCCTTCCTCCCTGCCCCCTTCTATTAAGGTGATGATAATAAGATTTTAATTATAGATTATAGAAGCAATGACACTGCCCAGGAGATCCATGATGCAGCTTTTCACAAGAGTTTCTTCTCATCCTTGGCAAGAGCTTGTATGTGACAGAGGAAGTTAGGCAGCTGTAAGTAACAGGAGGCTGAAGAAGGGAAAAAGCAGAATTGGGGGGAAACCAGCTGGACCACTTCAAGTGTCAACTCTTCTGTACAAAAGTAACATCCATGAAGGGTAAGAATCACCATATTCCATAACTGTTACTGTTATGTGGCGGGAAATACGGGAAAGTATATTTTGTTATGAATTAAAAGTTGTTGTACCCACCAGTATACATTTTCGTTTTGTTGACAAAGATACCTGTCAGTGCCCCCGGCGGGGTGGGGGGGAAATTAACCAACATGTGACTGCTTCAGGCTTCATAAGCTGAAGAGTAAATGAGCATTTATCATGGGAGAAAAAGCACACGAGAACCCCATAAGCTTTAATTATTGGAAGACAGAGGAAGTGTGCTGTGAGCTGGTGTGGAATCAAAAACAGAAAGTAGCCCAGCCAAACTAAGGTTAGAGATGGACAGCTTCACACAGTGCCTTATTGCATTTTTAGCCAGGGTACATCTAAGGTTATAGAAGGAGGGAAGGCAGACCACTTTACCTTTAGGTTTGTGCACACAGCTGTATATATTACAGTTAGTTGGTTATACACACAGTTAGTACAGTTATACAGTTAGTTAATATACACACAGCTGTATATATTACAGTTAGTTGGATGTTTTAAATTTGGCCGAATGATTGAATTATTTTAATAAGCTTTTAATTTTTGTTGTACATTGTTTTTACCATGGCTGTCCACCGTCCTGAGTCCCTCGGGAGAAGAGCAGTATACAAATATAATAATAAACTATTAAGTATCTATAGTTGCCAGGAGCCAGTAACTGAATTGCCTGCATACTGTCCCATGCATTTGGTTCACATAGGTTTGTCCCTTCTAATGTGTAGTGCCGTGCTTAGGAAGCAGCAGGTACCAGAAGACCTGAAGTCTTGCCAGCAGAATATGGGGGGGAGACCAAAAGAAGGCTCTGCTAATTGTATGTAGGCATGAAGGGGGGAAAAGCAAAGGCCAGGACTTTGATGGTTTGCGCTTCATATCCCAAAGTAATGGTCAAAGCCTTAGAATCTGTAGAAGGCAGGTTGTGAGGTGGGTGGGTGGGTGGGGGGTGGAATTAGGTGAGAAAAAAGGGCTAAAGCATGTGGAGTGTGAAGAGCAGCTATCCTCGCAGGACTGGAAGAGAATTTAAAAGAGCACACAAGAAAGGACATCAGGATTGGAACTATAAGGAGACAGACTGGAAAATTAATGGGACGAGAAAAGAACAATACTTGTTCTTGAGCACAACAACTATGAGACGGTTAGTCTAGAGTCCCATAGGAGTGTAATAATGAACCAGGGGAAACCTGGAAGGGGTAAGACATAACTGGTGGGAGCAGGGGACGGGGAAAGCAAATGAAGATCTAAGAGGGAATTGTAGCGCAGGTGGGGTGGTGGTGATAGCTTGAGCACAGACAGAGAGAGATGAGATGGAAGGTGAAGTGTGCCTGCCAAGGTTTCGGGTGGGCGCAAGTATGGCAAGAATGACAGGAAGGGGGGATTATCCGGAGGGGCAATAGTGAGGGGAGGGAGGGCGGGCAGAGCAGGGATTACAAGAAGGGGAGCCCGGCTGCGGAGGAGCCGCGTGGAGCCTCTTCCTCTGGCTCGCACTCACCTGCCAGAGCAGCCCCGCAGGTGGTGATAAGGACGGCCACCGACACCCCGAGGGAAGGGACGCCGTTCTTGAGCACCAGGACGCCGATGAGGAGGGTGACGAGGGGCAGGCAGCGCTTGAAGACCACGTACATGGGCAGGCTGAGCCCGCGCAGGGACCAGAGGGTGAGGCTGGACTGCAGCGTGGAGAGGAGCGTGGCCCCGGCGAAAGCGCGCCCCAGGCTGAAGCTGAAGGGCGGCATTTCGACGGCGCCCCGTCGCCGCAGCACCTCCAGGCTGAGCGCCGCCGTGGAGCTGGTCAAGCACTGCAGCACCGTCAGAAAGGTGAAGTGGTAGCGGTTGAGGAGAAACTTCAGCAGGATGTTGAGCGAGCCGGAGAAAACCCCGTGCGCCACCGCCACGGAGATGCCCAACGCGCGGCCCCGGCACAGCTGCATCCTGCCCACCCCACACACACACACGCACACAAACACACGCACCCCGCTTCCTAACCGCCCAAGCCGTCGGCGCTCTGCTCTCCCGCCTCTCCCCAGCACGGGAAAGAGCCGCGATCCTCTCCTGGCTGGGAGCCTCCGGGGTGCCAGGGGTGCCTCCGCGCCTCAGCAAGAGACAACTTTGCCGGCAAGCCCCGAACGCAGCCGCTTGACGGCGGAGGGGGGTCACAGGCGGAAGGGGGACGGTCGGTGATCAATCGTGGGGGGGGGGGGGGGGGGGGGGGGCAGGATCCGCTGGGAAATGTCTCCGCAGATTCGGCCACCGGCAGCCTACCAGATCCCCCAGCTGCTGTTGCTGACGCAGAGGGGGGGCTGGGTGCCCCGGCGCTTCCCATTACCTTAATGAAATGGGGACAATCGGAAGAGCGTTATTGGCCACGCTTCCTACTTGACCCGCTCAGATTGTTCTGGCTGTTATGAATCATGGACCTGCTTTGTTCCTGGAAGAAAAAGGAAGGAGAGGAGGAGTGGGGGAGCTGAATTTTGAAAAAAGGTCCGAGGGTGGGGGCGACCCCGCTCTCCCCACGTGTTAAATATATATATGTATATTTAAATGCACAAACTCGACGGTTGCCTTGCCCTGTCTCATCAGAACAAAAAAAAAACCCACTCACCCGGGTTCGCCCTCCGCGTGCCGCGGTTGCAAACAAAGCGAAAACCGAGCTGGAGAAACTCGGTTCCTCGTGGATGCTTTTCCGCGCACAATTTGCTAATGGAATGGCCATCCGTCCTGATTAAGTGAATTAGGGTTAGTGTCCTTCTAACGGAAATGCAAATATCGATCCAGCCGAGGCTTGGCCGGTTTTCTGCAAGCTAAAGAAACAGGTGCTTCGAAAGTAGCGGCGAGAGTTAACCCTTGGAGGGGAAGTAGCAAGACCCAAGGAAGGTACTCAAAGCGCGCGAGAAGCAAATCTTAGGCAAATCTTTTATGCATGTAGGGTATTTTCTCTCTCTCTCTCTCTCTCTCTCTCTCTCTCTCTCTCTCTCTCTTCTCTCTCTCTCTCTCTCTCTCTCTTTCAAATTACTCTTCGAAATAACTTCCCACTTAAAAGTGGGGAAGGGGTGGGGGGAAGGAAAAGGCGAAAAAAGAAGACACCGCTGCAAAGGGAATGAGCAAAGATTAGTTGCCCTGAAGTGATGGAAAGAGATCGTATTCCAGTAGTAAAAGGAAGCGAATCACAGACAGGCGACGCTCCGGAGTCACTTCTAATTTACACGACTAGAATACACGACTTCAGCAGCCATACTGGGAATGGTAGCCCGTGATCTCTAGAAGACACCAGGTTGGGGAAAGGTTGGCCAAGCCACATGGACCTCAGCACCCGAAGCCCAGACTCTACACCCACTGACACTGGAGACACGGTTCCACCAGCCGCCTAAGAAGATGGAAATGGAGACGCTTCCTCGACGAAGAGGTCCTGCCCTGGCCAAAGCCAGCTCTTCTGGAACGAGGAGCTCGCGGGTGGACGCTGAATGGTTCTAGAAGCGTGGCTAAGGGTTTAGATGGTCCAATTCTCCCTCGGGCTTAAAAAAAAAGAAAAATCTTGCACTTTTGCAACACGTCTAACGGTTGCAAGCGCATTTCCTCGCTAACTATTTGGAACCCGGGGAGACCTTTCTCGTGGGCAACGCGCAGCCTGATCTTTCGCCTGTTTGCCGGGGTATTGCGCAGAGGGGGTTCCCTGCACAAGCATATGGGGAGATCAAAGGTTAGTCTGGCCGGTGCTTCCTTGGGGGAAGCTCGCAATTGAAAAAAGGCAAATGGCAACCGTCCCTTCTTCTTGCCTGTCCCCTAGCAACTGGTCTTGGAAGGGTACCGAGGCTGCCTCTGACTGAACTAGAGGCCTTCATGAGCTTTTCTTTCAACTCCTTATGGTCCTATTTTCTTTGACAGCCAGGACAGAGGTACAGACACCTCCGAAGACTTTCAAATCAGAGAGACAGTTGATCAAAGCAGCAGTTTTTGGGAAGAAACTGTAGGCGCAATCCGTACAGATTTATTGGTGAAATGAATTTTGGACACCAGCAGTTGGCTGGGCAAAGTCCAAAATGTTGTTCTATTCTGAGACCCATTTTCCCACCCCCTTCTGACACTCTCTGGTCTATTTTGTGCTAGACAATGCCTCCTTGGCAGAAGGCAGGAGTAGATCTCTCTTGCTAAAGCTCTGAATTGCTTGCTTGCAGAGAGCCTTGGGTTGCACTTCCCTGCCCAAGAGATGGACAGGTTTAAGGGCTGTGGGAAGAGCCAGATATAGCATTTAGGGCAGACATAAATAGGATTATACATACATACATGCAAAACATATTATCTTTTCCACCATAAAATTAGAAACAGTTGAAGAATCAAGATGCACTTTGTTCTGGTGGTCCAGAGGTTAGTTAACACCTAAGATGTAAAACTATATGGACTACATATTCCTTTCCCCCCTCTGATGATTGGTCCATTTTTCTTCATTATTTGCCTATTCAAGAATTTAAAAGCAGTTGTGGAGAATAGAATGGCAGTGAAAGGAAGAGGGAAATGTTCATGTTCATCTAAATCAGTGTTTCTCAACCACAGTAGCCTTAGGATGTGTGGACTTCAACTCCCAGAATTCCCCAGCTAGCATGCTTGGATGGGGAATTCTGGGGGTCAAAGTCCACATATCTTAAAAGTTGCTGAGGTTGAGAAACTCTGATCTAAATTAACACAGGTGGCAATCTAAACGAAAACCCCTAAAAGAACATAGCTCCTATAGATACCAATATACTTGTACAAGCCAACAAATTCCCATGCTGTCCACGAGTTTTGAAGACTTTTTAAAAATAAAATATAAACTTGATATGTAATAATGCTGCTTGGTTATTACATCCTAGAGGCATTCTTAGAAAAATGGTAAGAGAAATGCATCCCAGTGTTTATTTTGCATGGTGCTTGTGTGCCCAAAGGATGGTTGGTGACAGAGAGCATCCTAGGTTCTATATAGTATGCTTTTTTATTTTGTTTTAATCCCTTTAATATTTTTTACAAAAAAACTCTGGGTGGTGTGAATATACCTAATACTCCTCCTTCCTCCTATTTTCTCCATAACAATCCTGTGAGGTGGGTTGGGCTAAGAGTGAGTGACTGGCCCAAGTTCACCCAGTTGGGTGACTTTCATGCCGAGGTCTCCTGGTTTCTAGCCTGCTCTGTTCCTGCTGCCCTCAGATGATGTACCAGGATACTGTCTCATTGCCAACCCCATTTCTTTGCCTTTTGTATGGTTTGGCTGACTCTCTGTATTGACACAGGTTCTATCTCAGCAGCCAGGAAATACATAGCAGGAGAGCAGGCTAATGGCCTAATTTCAATTAGAAGGTACAGCAAGAGGTTCTGCAAAAGGTAGCTCCAAGGGCAGACGTAAATGTCACAAACTAGCATTTCCCAAACCATGGTCCATGGTCTATTACCATTCCTTGTAAACAACAAAGCAATTAAGTGTGTGCCTATAAGCAATTACATATTCAAGCTGAGAACTCTTGGATAGAATCCGTATGAATTTGACAATGGTGATTTATCGTAAGATCTAGAACTTCATCTCTTGCCATTGCTGTTTGCTTCAATTGCCCCTTTAAATAAAAGAAAAGAAAGAAAAAAAGAAGAAAGAAAGAAAAAGAAAGAAAGAAAGAAAGAAAGAAAGAAAGTTAGTTATATGGTCTCAACTTGCTCTAGTTCTTTTCTAATCCCGTTTTTCTCCAATTATGCTGCAGGCCATTTCATGCTTCTGATGTATTTACTGGGTTTTAAAACTCAAATTGTTTTTAATTGTTTTATTTTAAACGACTTTCAAAATCTTATTAGCTATACCTAATAAGGGGAGGGAGTGGGGGCAACCATTATGATTTGCTTCCATTTATTTTGACTAGTTTGAGAGAAATATCTAAAGCATTTTCTGGATATCATTACGATGTCAGATTTTATAGCAATGTTGCAAACTATGAACTGGAGGCATATATAGCAGAAAGAAGATAACATCTTGAATGGAAACAGGACTCTATGATGTTAACAAAACCGTTGCCATTAAAATGCACTAAGGAACCAACTAAAAGGTTTGCTAATCTTTTTTTATTCTGAAACCTCAAATTTTATGGTGATTTTGAAGAAAGAAAATTAAACATACAGGGCATGTTGGTCAAAAGAGCCTACTGTATATTCCTCCACTACTTTAGAATTCATTCAATAAAAGTCATAGGCATTGAAGATCTTTATTGGGGCTGTAAGAAATGATCATTCTTTTAAAGCAATACTGACAAAATGTGAGACAAGGATTGCCATTGTCAATCAGTCAATCATTTATAATGGCCATAGACCATTATAGATTGCCAGTCATTTCCCACCATTGTTCCTTTGCAATTCTTTCCCCCCCTCCTTCATTCTTAGAGTTAGACCTGCAACAGCCTATTACAGTCTAGTGATTCTAATCAATCAGCCTGCCAGCCGTGCCCTTTTACAGGAGGTCCAATTTTATCATCTCTCCTATCTGTATTCTGTATGTGACCCACAGATCAGAAATAGGAAAATTTCTGGGCAAATAATTTGGATTCCTAAGAGGAAAACCAAATGTAGAAAAAATAGCACCTGCATTAAAGAGGTTTATTATTATTATTTTTTCACTATCAGATATCAGAAGATGGATGTAACACTTTCCAGGCTGGACTCATTTCATCTTCAAAATAGTCCTCCACTGAATAGATATGCATAGGTCAAAAAATCATATCAAATAAAGAAATAAAGAGGCATAAAGAAAATGCAGTGAGGTGGTTTTGTCAGCACATCTTTCAGCACATGTATATTGTATAAAGCAATCTACATATACAAGCAATTTTTCCCTATTTCACCCCTTCTCTGAATGAAGTCCTTTAGTGAAGGCTGCTTTGGTATAAAAGATGTGGATTGTGTGTGAAATAGGTGGAATATGTTTGTATTTTTTTTTCCAAAGCAAGACACTTTGTGATTTCTCTACCCAAATCATTTCAATGCTCTTAATAGCAGAACCAAAGATGGTGATTTTTTTCTGTGAAAATTAATCAAAGAAGCAGTGACTAGCTAACAGAAAGAATTAGAGGGAATTTAGAGCTTGATATTAACTTGTAAGCACAGCTGAGATTCCACTAAATACACAAGCATAAGTTTAAATTCCCACTTAATGATTTAAGCTTAAACTGAAAAGGGGGGGGCGAGTGGGGGGAAGAATCATATAACTCTCTTAAGCTCCCTGGAGGAAAGTCAGGAAATATACATTCTAAACGTACTTGCTTACGCCTGCCTGCCTTCAATGAATGGTAATCCTATAACAACTGGATGGCAGCAGGTTAGTGAAATGATAGGATCAGTAGACAGTGACATCCTGGAAGAAATCAAGTCAATGTGGGCCTTAAGTCTTACGAACAAATTGTTGAGCAAATATATTCTAGTGCACTACTAAGCAACGTTCATCCCCTGAAGGGAGCCTGAAATATGGAATTAACTGGATCATGGATTATTCATTTAGGAGACCAAAATGCTATACCTTTGATCTTATAGATTGTTCAGTGACTGTTCATAATGGTAAAATCTCATTGTAAGAATTAATCCTTCTAAGAACAGTAACTTCAGTCTGTGTTCACAATAATTAAAAAAAGCATACTGTGATAAACATTCTGAATAGTTCCATATAAATCTCACATTTTCATGGCACGTAGTGAGGAAAATATGAAATAGGATTATAGACCTACAGGGTTGATTTAAAAGACTATTTTTGAATGCTACTGAAAGACCTGAAGTTACTGCAGTAAAACCTTAAAAGCTGCAGCATTAAAAAAGAAAAAAAGAACTATGCTTGAAGAATTAAGAGTTGATTTTCTGTAACTGGTGCTGGAGAAATATTTGTATTATGTTGCAAGATGTTTGTAGTGTAATTTTTTAAATTGTTTGTTAAAGGACACATTACATTTATTTAGTACCAGCAAATTTCTTATTGGATTTATTCATTATTGAAAGAAAACATAAAGGTGAAGCAGTTTATAGCAAAAAAAGTTGAAAATCAGGGTGGAGGGCTAATTAAATTTAAACACTTTCTTCTAGCTATAGAATGTAAAGAACAGATATTGCCAAGTTATTAAGTCATTTAGTCTACAGGGTTTAATCTTGCCATTTTTGTTTTCCAGTAATTTACTTTTCTTACAAACAATTTAGAGAACATTTCATTAGATCTATTTTCTGTAATATCTTGTTTATACAGTGTTCCATGAGAAAGAGGTAAAAGGAAGTGGTATTAATACTGGAAATAGGTAGTTGTACTTGAGCATTAAAATAGCTACAGGCAATATCTGTATCTGCATATTTCTATGCAATTTCTTGGCTGAAAAAATTTACAAGTGTTTGTGATGCTTCAGCCTCCTGCAATCTTTTTAAAAACACAAAAGCATTTATATTTTACATAAAATTGATACATAGTAATCAAATTTTGGTTTTAAAGATCTGAAACATTTTTCACAAAATTGTGCCTTTTTATTCCTTATATGCATATTAACTATTTGTAGAATTTTGTTTCTAGAAATACTTATATTTTATCTATCCTTTATGATAATTATAAACAAGTGTGTTGGATGCTTGAGGGTCAAAAAAGAATCAGTAATTAAACCAAATCTACAAAGAAACTAATATTTATTTTTTCTCTTGCTCCAAAAATATGATTATTTGAAAACTTATATAGAAACTAATCCCCACCCCTCTATGTGATGTGTCATTGGGGCAGAGGAGCATTCCTGAAAGGGTCAAGCAAAGAAAGATAGTAATAGCAATAGTACTTAGACTTATATACTGCCTCACAGTGCATTACAACGGTTTACAGAGTCAGCATATTGTCCTCAACAATCTGTGTTCTCATTTTACCGACCTCAGAAGGATAGAAGGCTGAGTCAACCTTGAGTCGGTGAGACTCGAACTGCTGGCAATCGGCAAAATTAGCTTGCAATACTGCATTCTAACCACTGCACCACAATAGTATATAGGAGTATATACCAAAAATATATAATTTCATTAGGTCACCTAAGATATGAAGGTCTACATAGTTGCTAAAAGTTGACACCAACTGATGGCATATAATCAATCAAACCTAAAAGTTGAACAAAGCAAGAACAAGTCTCTACAGCAGTTAATATGTGTTGAAATTTGTACCTAGGGATGAAAGGTTATCAATCATAAGTACTCAAATTTTAAAATGTACATTTAAAGTATTTAAACGGCAAGCTCCTCTGTGAGTTGCAGAAACTGAGCAACAAGCTGCATCATATAGTGAAAAATCTTGTCTCAACATTAAGAGCACCAAAATCAAGTCTCACTGATCAATACTACTATCTGGACAGGCATAGATTCTCAGCTCTGCTCAACTAGTTAAATAAACTCTATTCCAGACACACTGGCTGTCCAGACTATTTCCCATGAACTTTATTCAACATGGCTAATGAGCAGCATAAAAGGTTATTGCGGATGAAAATATATACAAAATTGACGCTACTGTATACTGGTGGAGAGCCAAAAAATAGAGTTTATAAGGGAAGTTGTGAAAATGTTGTCACTCTTCTAGTTACAATTGGCACAGATGTCAACTTGCCAATAGGCTACACATTTGGCTGCTTTGGAATCTTGGACTTTTTCTTCATTTCTGATCAAGGAGATGAAAACCAATTTTACTCCCACATTTCTATCAATTATATTTTTAATGGTTATGGTTGGAGAAAATCAGACTGTATTAATATGGATACACAGAAATACATTAAAGCTCATTGCCATACTTCACAAGTAGTACCACACATATGACTGGATTGAGCTTCAGAGAGTAACGCTTTCTTGTTAGGAGATGTTTGTTGACTTTCTACAACTTAGCATCTTCCAGTTGAGTCGTATTAAACTTCCCACCATCTTTGGTAAGATGGCTGAGAGAAACTGTATTGGTAAGATACATAACTAGATGATATCAGGTTGTCAGAAGCTGATCAGCATAAACGTTCAGTTTATATATGGTACAAAAAAGAAAAATATGCAATGGATAACTTTTTAAAAATAGTTTAGTTGACTGTTAGAAGACATACTGTGACAACATTAAATCAGTGCTAAGTTTGCTTTGTGGGGAGTTTAAATTATCTGTCATGGATTAATCAACTGAGTTTTGAAACAGATAACTTAGTTTTACTTATTCTCATTAGTAAATATGCACAATGTTTAACATCACATAAAAAATTATTTCTTTGTAACAAGTAAATACTAAACATAGAAAGTAACTTTACTACTTGGATACCAACTGTTTTTTGTCTTAGGCATTTTGGCCCTTCCTTCTAGTTTGTCTGGATTCTGGCCTTAAGGTCATGTTCATTTTTCCTTCAGAAGTTGGTAATTTTAGTTCAATCATAGTTTAATTCAAAACAACAGAATCTAAAAATGTATTAAATTTGATCAAGAAAATTATAGAATTTGTCTTACAAACAAAAAGAAAGATAAAACTCAGACTGTAAAACCATCAACTGTGAAAACTATGTGCCATATTATAAATACATTATTGTACAGAAATTCCATAATGAACTCAGTTCAATGCTGATACATTGTTTTACGATAAATTCTACATCGCAACAGTGAGAATACTTAAACTGCAATAAAATTTGTATTTTTAACTCTTATAAATATAAGACACAGTTCCTACACTGTACCTAATATTTACAACAGGAATAGTGTTATAGTGCCCTCCATATGTCTTGGAATACAATTTCCACTAACTCTTGGCAATAATCATGCTATTTGGGACTGTTAAAAGCTATAGACTAAAACATTTGGAATTTATTAGGTTGCCTGTTCATAATTTACATAATTGTATATTCTGTACATAGCATGTGATCATTTTGCTGATTCAGTCCAGGTTCTGTGCAAGATGTTATATGAATCTGTCCTTAATCACGTTTGAAACTTTGAAGCTCATATTAAAATCTAATATTGTTAGTAAGGCATAATATGACAGATGCCCAAGAAAAACAAAAATAATTTCTTATAAATCAGTTCTTTGCAATTGAGAAATCTTTCTAAGCAGGAACTACCAATGAAGATGGATAATAGATCTTCACAGTTTCATCCCAAGCGCAGTCAGCCACCTATGGAGAACAAACACAATTTAGGACAAGAAATAATATGCATTCAAAAAATATTCATGTAATATAATTTATATGTTTGCAGTGGTAATTTTGCCCCTGCAATACTACTAAGTATAAAGCCAACACATATAAAGTTTAAAACAATTTTGAATAAATAAATAACAAAATTGCATTCTAAATATTTTCATTTATGTCATTTAGATAAATATTTAAAAAACTAACTAACCATACATAAACATAACATTACACTGTCAAGTGGTCCAAAACAGTTAAAAACTTAATTTAAGTTTTCCAGGAATTGATTTCACTACTTTTATAGTACATAATGATGATTTAATCGTTTTTATTGTATCAGTAGATTTTTAACAGTTTATAAATGTATTTAATAATGTTTTTAAATAAATAAAACTCACAATTTATATTAAATTATTCCAAAGTAAATTAGAATTAGTTTCAGGAAAAATGCACTGCTTAAAAAGAGGATAAAATACATTAAATCTGGTAATGCAATTAAGCTTCTGTAGCAAAATATTGGAACATAATAACAGCATACAAAGACATATATAACAACAAAAAGATGAGTATATAAATTAGATTTTAAAAAAATATTTGTAGTTGGATCAAGTTAATTATAACTTAATATCTATATGTGTGAAAAGATGTTTCAACATGTTAATTCAACATTAACAAAACCTGCAATAATTGTAACCATACATTATATTACTCTAAACCCAAACTAATCTCCCGCTTATTTACTACATTTTCAAAAGTGCAAAACAAAGGTTTTATTCTCACTGAACTTCTATTCAATTAGTTGCAGTTTGCTGAGAAAAAAGGTTGAATATTAAAACATAAATAACTGTGTGATGCAGCCTATCTAGTTTTCTATTCATGATTTCTTTTCCCCGATCAACTGATAGCTCTATAATGATCACCCACAGTAGACTACACCTGCAGACAGCATATTTAGAGTTCACAAAACAAACACTCAACTGCCAAGAGGAAACAATAAATAAAATACCATCTGCAAAATCCCTGGGGACTTTTCACCTGAGACTGTCTTAATTAATGTCACACAGAAATTTCTGAATATAATAATAATAAATTTTAAGTATAGTAATTATTATTTCAACCAATCTTAGGAAAAGCAAACACAATTTACACAAGGCAGGCTGCTAAAAATCTTTTGCTTAATTCAGTCCAGATCTGTTACCGATAGTACATGAAAAAAATATAAATGTAACTAGGAAAAAAATAGCAAATAAAAGATAAATTACTTTGATAAATTATGTTAATATTCTGTGAACTCTTGAAATGTAATCATCAACCAATATTGCTTGTTTTCTGTTCAACTGTGTCCATTTTTTGGAGACTAGAGACAAGTCCCTGCAATTTTTCTGAAGGGGTTTGCCACTGCCTCCTTTCTTGGGCTAAGAGAAAATGACAGGTCCAAACTCACCCAATTGGCTTTGTGCCCAAGGCAGGGCCAGTACTCATGGTTTCCTTCTTTCCAGCCTGATGCCTTAACCCCCAACTGGCTCTCATGGAAAATTGATTTGAAAGATCCCTAAAAGCTTTTATGTTACCCATACAGCATGAAACCTGGATTCCACTCAGCATCTTTAAAGATAAATACACCATTTAATTTAAATTATGTTATCAAGTGTCCTAATTCAAACTTAATGTTTGTCATTACGGTATATTAGCAAAATTACCTGGATCTAATGTATTTGATAAACATATTTTTCCTTCTGCATGTGAGAGAAATGCAGATTTATAGCTTCCGCTTAAAATAGTGAATTGGAAAATGAAAGCAGTAGCAGAACATCAGACTTTGGAAAAACTTCCCTTAATTCTGAAAAATACTTGAGGACAACCAGAGCTATACCAGTACCAGAAGAAATGCTTCTGGTACTGATGTTCATCAGCCATAAAATATGATTATACACTGTTTTCTGCTAAAAATAGTCTAGAGCTATTTTTCTTTGTCTGTTAGAATAAATTAGATTACTTGTAGTATGGATTAAGGATTCTGGGGTTGTTTCAGATTCCTGTCTTGGGACTGTCAATCATGATTTAACTCTTCCCCAGTCTTTGAATTTTAAATTAGTTATGTTTAATTTGTTTCATTTTGATGGAACTTATTTATGACTAACTAGCTAGCGGTGTTAATACTTGTAGAGTAAGGGCAAAGGATGGTTCAGCAGATTTACGAATATAATAAACTCAGAAAAACAAAACCCAGTGGTTAGGTCACATAGGTATGTCCAAACAAATAAAGAAACAATAATATTTCTCATCCAATGTACTAATACAAAGGTTGGATCCCCTTCCATACACTGAACCACAAATACAATGTATTTCAGCACCATTACTATATAACCTACTTTATCTATAAACCAGCCTTCAAGTCCTTCAGCAGGTAGGAAGGAACTGATTAGAAGACAGGCAGTTCCAATGAAGAGAGTAATTAAGCCATTATATGATTTAACTATGTGAATTTCTAAATAACATTCAGAATTTATAATTACTAATCAGCTGTTAAAAGGATTAAAGACTGATTAATAGATTGCTTATGTTTCAGAAATTGTGGTTTGCTTAACACATTATTATGAATTAATTGACTTTGCATTGCATAATTACCATGCATCAGGGACTTTTTAACTAATCAGCATATTATACATGGGCTATCATAAATCTATTTTATTTCTGTTTTTTTAAATTAGGTATCACAGGAACATGTTAAATTAAGCACCACTAGCTAAGTTTTGCAGAGCTTTCCATAGATACCTTCTCATATATTGTAATTCTATAAATTGCTTTTGTTTTGCTTCAAGGGCTGTTTAGTATATTTTTGCACACGTACCATAGTGCAAATGCAGCCTTAGTTGTGAATGGCGCCAATTTAAGTAGATTTAATAGTATTGTGAAAAGTGGCAGAATTACATCTTCAACTTTCTTGGGTTATAATTTCTACATGTTTCTCTAAGACAATTGTAAAGAATGTCAGCAGACATATATTTTAAATTATAGTTAAATTTTGACTTTTATATATTTGTTTTAACCCAAATTAAAGACTTGGGGAGCTGTACGTTCCTCAGAGTAGAGCAGCCTATAAAGTCCTGCAGTTAAATAGAGTTGTAATTGAAATATACCCAGCACAACTGGAGCTCTGTGTGTGTGTATGTGTGTGTGTGTGTGAGTGAGTGAGTGTGTGTGAGAGAGAGAGAGGGAGGGAGGGAGGGAGGGAGGGAGGGAGAGAGAGAGAGAGATTTTTTTCTCGAAGACTGCTGATGGCTTAACAACATGCATGAGTAATACCATTTTGACTTTATAAGTTTCTTTCTCAAATTGCCTCTTCATATAAAATAAACAAAAGCTTGCCCAAGGCTAAAAATGGTAGAGATGTAAACCCAATGAGATGTAGATGCATTAACTTTTTTCCTCGTATCACTCACTGAACAAAAGCAGCAATGAGTATTACATTAAATGAGTATTACATATTTTGTAGTACTTTCTTTTATTTCATCTTTTTGCATCCTTGACTATGAAACAAAATAGTAAGAACCACAACTAGTTAAATAGATAACACCTCTGTACATTTCCTGGAATTATTTCCCATCCTAACAAGACAAAATAATAATTTTAAAAAGCCTATCAGTAAAAAGCTTCCAATAGTGTTACTTAAAGGGAAGTTCCTAAAGCAGTACAAAGCAGAAGAGTGGCTGCTCACTTCAAGGCTGGATGTTACTACTACACAAAGAGATGCAGTACGCTTTGTACTTTGGAACAGGGAGTTCCAATCACAGAACAGGTCACTGAGTTTCCCAAAAATGGTTAAATCCTGAAATATGCCATTTTGACAATGCTCTGATGACAAGAGCCAACCCACTTCAAAGATGGACCACTTCCAAAATATTTGCAACAACCAAAATCAGAATAATATATTTCAGGGTCAGAATGTTCCATGGCAGAGCATCAAATGTATCTCTGTTACTGGGTTATGGCAATCCTCTGGCAAATTTGTTTGCAACAAATGAATTAAGCTTCCCTTCCCTCCTCCAAAAATAAGGCATATGAACTAGGTAAGTATACAGACTAACGAAGACTATTCTCCTATGTTCAGTTTTAATTATGATGAAAATTCTTCAATTTTTGTTCATTAGTAAGGCTAGTTTCCATTAGCCAGTTAAATTAGTTCCCCAACAGATCCTCAGTTGGTTAATTAACTTATAGTTTTACTTTGTTGGTCAAAGCCATTTCTAGCAGTACTGATGACCATCTTTGGGATTGAAAAAGGAGAAAAAAAAATCTGTTAGATGTTGGTTGATATTTATTCATTTTTTCAATGGAAATTTTTTTTAGCATCTACAAACATGTCCTAAACTCATTGTATCTCTCTATATCTATTACATTTTGAATAGGCATCCTTGTGGGACACATGTGACCAAGGGATGGCTATATTGAGAAAGGAAGGAAAGAGACATAATAAAAAAAACAAGATGAGGATGGGGTTAGGTGGAAAATAAACAGGATAGGGGAGAGAAGATAAAGATGTACAGAGACTGATACTGAGTGCCTACAAGATATAACAGTGGTTTTTAACCTTGTGAACTTTAGAGGGTGGTGACTGGAGGAATTCTGGGAATCTACACATCTTTAAAGTTCACAAAGTTGAGAAAGGCAGATTAAAAATATATAGGTAGAGGTAAAGGTTTATCCATGCTAGTCGTTACCGGCTCTAGGGGCGGTGCTCATCTCCGTTTCTAAGCCGAAGAGCCAGCGCTGTCTGAAAACGTCTCCGTGGTCATGTGGCTGGCATGACTACATGATGAAGGCGCACGGAGCGCTGTTACCTTCCCACCAAAGTGGACCCTATTTTTCTACATGCATTTTTATGTGCTTTCGAACTGCTAGGTTGGCAGAAGCTGGGACAAGTAACAGGAGCTCACTCTGTTACACGGTGCTAGGGATTCGAACCGATAAACTGCCGACCTTCTTGATCGACAAGCTCTGTGTCTTAGCCACTGGGCCACCGCATTCCTTAAAAATATATATTTTTATCTATCTATCTATCTATATAAAATATTATATAATAATTATATATTATATAGTGTGTATTGTTGTGCTTCTCACTTATATTTCCAAAATCTCCTAATGGAAGCAGAAGAACTTTTCTTTTTTGAATATGATCTGTTCCCATTAAACAATGGCTGCCTTTACTCTGCAAATATAAAACCACCTTCCCTCCCACTTCAAAAGTCCACCTAAACCCATCCACAAAAGTCCCCTTGGTAAAAGCTCATCTCCATTAGATAGATACAAAGTTAAAAGGTACTACAATCTACTAAAGAGCTTTACATTGTTATTAAGAAGTTCTGCATCATTCACATATTCTGAAGACTCTGGTTTTCAGTTCACAAATACAATCAGTTTAATTTCAGCTTCGCTAACAAAGGCTCATCTCAAAATGATCTTTGAAGCAGGGTTGAGGCATAAAATACTGCATGTAACTCACCACTTACTGGGAGGGCTCCAGTTCTGCTCTCTACTAAGACCAACCACTGCCATAGGAAAAGAATTTCAATGTAAACCTGTAACTTAAGTTTTAATCTCAAAGAAGCTTTTCGACAATATGATTTGCAAACTGCAACATATGTATACAGTATTTGTAAGTATCTCATCCTTCAGCGCTTAAGAAAAAAATTCTTATTATGTTTTCCTTTTAAGAAATGGCAACATTATAATTAAGAAAACTGAATTATAATTCATTCTTGAAAGAACTTTCACAATGTTCTTTCTGCCTATTCTAAGTACCTAATCCTGTTTTCAGGCAGACAAGAGCTACAGAAAAAGTCTTGCTCAGCAGAAAGCTTTCATTTACATATGTGAGCCTAGCACTGGTAGTGTGGAAGACTTGATGATAACTAGGCATAGAAATAGAGAAAGGAACCTCAGACTTGTCATTTCTTTCTTCACATTCGAATCGAACACTATCTAGCCTTATTACTCAAGCAGAGCCAAAATACCCTAATCTCAAGACCTTTGTGCCTTAAGCAATACTTCCTCACTTCTTTATATCTTCAAAGTAATATATTCAATCAAGTAAAGAAATGAATTTGGCATTAAAGCAAGAGCTAGAACTTTTCAACCATTCAGTTTAGATGAGCAAAATTATGCTATATAAAAATTCAAATGATGTTTCAGTAGTAGCAAAATGTTTGTAAGAGAAAAAAAAATCTCAGAAGAGCTGCACCTCCCAAATATGATTTAAAAATATGCTACTGCCCTTATTTTTAATGAGAGTTTGAAAGTGCCCTGCCTCATTCATGTCCCCAACAAATGTCTGAATTTTTAAAAATCTATATATTTTATCAACACAGAAGACATTGGACGAAAGATGGGGGGGGAACCAAACCTTTGGATATTCAAACACAGAAGTCGTAAATCTGATTAAAATTTAAAATAGAGGAGAAATTTAAAAAGACCGATCTTTTCCAAACATAATGAGTATGTACAATTATAGTTTATTGAGATAATTAGTGCAGTCAGTTTACTACAATATATTGACATTAAGTATATTATGTAACCATCCTATTTTAAAAAAAGAGGTGACTTGTGAACTAGCCACAACTTCTGTAGTTCTGTTTTAAGGAACTTCCACCACAGCACATTGCTAAATATCAACAGCATGGTTAATATGAAGTTTAAACTTGCCACTAATTATACTTATTTTTAACAGCAAAATACCCTATGCATAAGCCCTCATTTCCTTATCAATTTTCAAATGTCATTCCCATTAATATTCATCCCTTAACCATAGAAAAGTTGTCAACTTTTGTTCTAAAGTGTTGCCTGATACTAATACTTGTGAACAGCATGTAGATTTATAAATTTAGTAGAGATTAATTTAAGGGATTATTGAAAACAAATATTGTAAAACCCATTATTTCCTGATCTGATCTATTCCGATACAGTGTGTTTAATGTAATTTACTTATATTTGGGGGGATTGACATACTTGAAATATAGGAGGCTCAGTATTTTTCATTTTGTTGATCCTATTATTTTACTGCAGCCCCAAGAATGTTTGCATTACTGGCACAACAAATAGAATGTGATTTCATTTTTTCCTCTTATATTTAGTGATGGCTAACAAACCTGCAGGGAACATAATCTGATAAATGCTTGCATTTCTTTCAAGGTACAATGATTCATGGACTGATATTACATCTGTTCCATTAAACAAGTTAAGAGACAAACACTATTTTCCGAGAACACAATTAAAATATATAATACATCGGTCAACACTTAAAAAAAAACATATTAGCAGATAAGTGTGGGATGAAGTCAAAGAAATGGCTTCATAATGAGAATGACAGAAGCTCGTTTTTCTGCCAATTTAAGCTGAAGGACCAGAATACGCTGCACAGGCTGTGGCACAAGAGTATGAAAGGGAAGGAGACAAGCAGTTGAACACTTGGGAGGGGGGTCCTTTCACCCATGGAACAGATCATGACCTATGTCAATTGGCAGACACCTCTGATCTTAGGAAAAGCTTTTGTGGGAATGGGTTTTTCTAGAGGGAGGGTAGAGTCAGGTTACGTAAGTTTGGATACAGATTCTGCTAAACATACTCCTTCTAGAAGTCCCTAATCTGCCTTGTCAAAAAAATTTTCTTCAAAGAATGCTAGAAGGAAAGAAGGTCATCTACACTTGATTTCAGAATAACTAACAAGGAAGACTTAATTGAGGAAATGAGAAAACTAAACATGCTGGGAGAAAGTGATCCTGTAATATTGGGAGGATCGTTAAATTAAATGATATTTTTAAAAAAACATAATTAAGTAGATTACTTATATGGTTTTTCTTTGAAGACATTTCACATCTCATCCAAGAAGCTTCTTCAGCTTTGACCGGATGGTGGGGAATGGAGGGATTTATACTCCTTGTAGACAGTTGGTCATTTTTAGTGAGTCATTGCTAGTCACAGGCCACCTGGAAGTTTATTTGTGTCATCAAGGTCACCTGAGTAGTGCAAATGGGTGTGGAGCCTTCTTGGAACTGTTGAAAGGACTGTGTTGTAGACTGGAGATAGATGATGTCATATCCTTCCTCCTCTGTTGAGAGAGGGCTGTTCAAATTGACATAGATGGCCTCTTTGAACCCTCTTTCAAACCAGTGGTACTTTCTTTCCAAAATGTGGACTTTGCTGTCTTCAAAAGAGCGGCCTTTGCCTTTTAAATGCAGATGGACTGCTGAATCTAGTCCTGATGGGTTTGTTCTCCTATCTTGTGCCATGCATTTATAAAGTGGTTGTTTTGTTTCCACGATGTATAGATCTGCACATGGCTCACTGCATTGTACTGCATATACCACGTTGCTCAGTTTGTGTCTGGGTGTTTTATTCTTTGGGTGGACAAGCTTCTGCCTTATGTTGTATTGCCTGAAGATCATCCTGAGCTTTTCTGATATTTCTGCAATGTATGGAATGACAACATTGCTTTGTTTATTGTTCTCTTTGTTGTCTCTTTTGGAGGAGCTCCTGTAAGCTATTTTTTGAGATTTGATGAAGGCCCACTTGCAAATGACCAGCTGTCTACAAGGAATATAAATCCTTCCATTCCCTACCATCCACTCAGAACTAAAAAAGCTTCTTGGATGAGAAGCGAAACATCTTCAAAGAAAAACCAGAAAGTCCAGTTGCCTCTTGAAAAAAGTACCTTTGGGATAATCGTGACCTGGATGACTGAAAAACTCCATAGACATTTATATTACTTATATTTTAAGAAATCATATTTAATTAAATCAGAACAGGTAAAATACATTAATAACAGAAGCTGATGGAGAAGTGACCCCAATAAAGATGAGAATTTTTTCTTTAAAAAGATACATTACTGCAAAACCCCAATGTAGCAAACCATTTGGAGTCAGGCTTATCTGATTCAACCAGCTATGTGACATCTGAATTAATGTTATTTGTGTTAACGTATATGATTTTTGTTACTTCTGTTAAGTATGCATGCAAATGACATAAATCAATGCAAAATTTGTAACTAACATTTTTTTACCTATCAATATGTAAGTTGATGAAAATAATAAATTTAATTAATCACCTAGACTATTTGGGATACAAAATAGATTTAATTTATTATTTTGTGGAGGCATCAGGACATAAATCTTGTCTATGTATCAAAATCTGGTAACTTGTTTTACTATATGAAAAACATCACTGGAAGCAATTCTAATGAGAAAGACTTAGTGAAAATCTGAAAGTCACAAAGGACATGTAGAGGAGTTGGAAAGAGACATAAATCACTAAAAATGATTATATACAGTAGTCTAGATTGTAGAAATAGTATCAAAAAAGCAACATTTAGAATCAGCTGAAATTAATAAAGGATGACAAGAATGACAAGACCTTTGGATCTTGAAGAAAAGGAAAGGGAGGAATTAAATAAAAGTAAAATTGTCTCTCTATAAAGTGGAAAAAAACAAATAGTTCAGCACTCAGTGAAAATGACAAAAAAGTAGCTATCAAAAAGGAAAGACACAATTATTCAACTTTTTTAGCTCAGTTGTCTTTACAAGGATATACAATCAATGCTGAATTAGTTAAAATCTTTAGGGCAGCATGAAATGCTGACTGACAGATAACTGAAGGAATCTGTTGATGGTTGATTTTTTGTTTTATTTTTCCATATTCTTACATAAATTTTCAGATTTCAAAAGAGCCGCTATGCATAATCCATATTTCAACTGGGTTTACATTCACATTAAAAAAAAATTGTGTTTTCTTATTTTCTTACCTGACCCGAATCATGCAAACTTAAATCTAGTCCACAAGTAAACTCCGTATGATGCTCCACAGTTTCAAGCAGAGGGTCAGGCTTGGAGAAATCCCAAAATCTATAGATGGAAACAAGAATGCAATTATGGTAATTGAAAGGCCACTGATGGCAAGCTTGAAACTGCCAGATGCTTTTAAAACCCAAAGCCATCTACTTTAAAAACATAATTAATCCTATTGCCACAAGTCTCTTGCTTCATCTGCATAAATGAGCCTTTCATTAAGAAATTCATTAAGAAAGCATTTCCTTCACTTCAGTATGGAAATTTTGGTCAAAAAAGCTGGCAGAATTAACTTCCATTGGGACAATCTACAAAACAATAATGTGAAGATTATTTATTCTGTAAACAATTTACATATAACAATTTATATGTGTTTTCCTTGGGGGAGGGCATTTTTATTGTCAGACCATCAGTCCACTGATACAGTTAATGCTTGCTGAGAGCTTATCTCTCAGGTAAAAACATTTCATAGTTCAAGTTCTCTTTTTACTCTCCCCCTCCTCTCCTCTAGAGATGTCAAGAATTAAATAAGAACATTGAATTTGGCTCTTCCCCATACTCTGTCAAAGGTGTTGAATTATTTCAGTAATTTAGCAGCAGAGCAATCTGTCAGTGCATAGACACTGGCCAGCTGACAATATATAAGGGATGGGATAGTCTACCAGGAGGAACATAATAGCATGATTTATCCCTTGAGGAATTAATTGATCTTGCAAAGCCAAAAAAGCAACCCAACGCATTACGACTTAGTGTAATGTACATTTGATTCCTTATCACTGAAATTTCAAAAAGCAACCTTTCCCAATATTCTTTTTCCTTCTTTTTTTTTAAAAAAAAACAAGTTTTATTGGTTTTTTTCTTTTCTCCTCTCCCATCTTCACCCACATCTTTCTTTTTTTTTTGAACAGAGTGTTGGTCGTTTCTTATCTTATACAATTAGTCGAATTCAAATACATTTTACTCAATTACAATTTTTGTCAATATCGTCTTCCCCCCCTTTCCTTTTTTGGAATATACCTCAGTATTTCTATACTTGCATACATAAACATCTTCTTAATTTATCCCTAAATTCTAACTTTAATATCTATACATACTTGTCTTCTTTTATAAACAATTCATTCTTTTTCTTAATATATTTATATATGTTTGTTCAGAGATCCCTTTCTTCCACTTCATCTTTTTTTTATCATACAGCAATCTTTCTCTTCAAACCTAGCCCCTCCCTCTTCTCCTTCCAACTTTATTTCCCCACCTTTTTCTTCTCTTCTCTATTTCCCCTTCCCTTCTCCTTCTCCTTCTCTTCCTCCCTATCTTACCTTCTCTCCTACTCTACTTTCCCTTCCCTTCCTTCCTCCCTACTCTTCCATCCCTCTCTCTCCTCCCTCCTCCCTTCCAATTCCTTCATCTCTCTCTATTGCTGTATTCATTTTCAATTTAATGTTTTCCATTGTGGAGTTCAGGCAGCCCTGATCCCTTATCTTTTTAATTATTAACAATATATTTCATCTTATTCTCTTTTTTCCTTCAAATCTTTACTCAAACACTTTTCTAATCTCTTATCTTTTTTACTTTTACCAATATATTTTTTCTGCTTTACTTCTTGCAAGTATAACATTTAAATCATTTTTATCATTTCAATTTCATTCAGTTTTACATTCAATTTCAATCATTAAATATATTTCTCAAAACATCTTAACGATATATTCCCCCTTATTCAGATATATATTTATAAAGCGCATCTTAATCCTTTCTCATTTTACCCAATCCAATTAATTCTTAAAATATTCTTAATTTGTCTTCTTTTCTCTTTTTAATTATGTTTCAAATATATAGTTTAAGATATTCCAAATATGAAATTTCCCCCAACTGGTTTATTCATATTGTTAAAACTTATCATTCTATAAACCTCCAATATTATTGAGCATGTGACATTTATTACAGTTTTTCCTTTGTTTCTACTTTTCTTTTCCTTTTTCATATCTTTTCATTATTAATATTTTGTATCTTAAAATCATAACATCTTTGCCCTTTATTTCCCATCCTTTTCCCTCTTTCTTATATTTCCATTCTAAATCCCAGTGTAATCATTTATGTTTTTAATATTTTTCTTCTCCTCCACCCTCTTTTCCTTCTTTGCCTTTTGTTTTCCCTTCTTCCTCCTTTCTTTTGTATTTTAAAATTCTGCACTCTCCTATTCTGCCCTATATTTCCCATTGTTTCTCCTCTCTTTCAAGGTCATAAAATGAGGCAAAACTCACTTAACAAATGACTCACTTAGCAAGAGAAATTTTGAGCTCAATTGTGGTCGTAAGTTGAGGACTGCCTGTATTACATTCTTTTTAAACATATTTGTTTTGAAATACTTATACAATACAAAAAGTCGTTACTGCAGTACTTAAAAACTAGTTTGTATTCAATATAATTTTCAATTATTTCTGTTGGGATAACATCTTTCTCTTTACCCAGTTAGATACACTATAAATATATTTCCACTCTCTTTACCCTCTCATTTCAACCTCTCCTTGGGTCCCTTTGTATCCTTTCCTGTATAGGTGTCATGACTACGAAGAGTGATGCGTAATGCTATCCATGTGCTGCAGGTTTTGCCGCTGAAGTGATTATCAAGAAGGAGTATAAACCATCCAACTACAAAAAATTCGACATAGGAGCAACTCAGGTGTACAGCAAACACTAGAGGCCACACAATTAAGTTTGTTTAAGCCAACTTGATTACATTTTCCGCAAATTACCTGGCTAGAATGATGGCTACACAATGGATGTGCTATGGCAACAGCCCTCTTTAGAGACTCCTAATACTAGAGAGCAGACGAAATTTATAGTTTCCCAATAAGCTAATTTTCAAAGAGAAGCAAATGAAGGTCAACAGCCTCCTTTCATTTAGCTATGAATGTTATGTAGTACAGTTTGCTAAATATTCTCACACGGAAGACCGTTTTGCTGTTTATATTCAATATCTGCATACTGCTAAAACTCCTGTTTCATGATCTTTACTTGGGAGAAATGGTGCATCCTAAGATCACATTTTTTGAATCTAGGTATCTCAAATGGGCTAACTTATAGAATGTGTACAAAATCTGGATCCCATGATTCCCAAGAGCATAACATTTGGGGAAAGTGTGGCTGATTCATGGCTACTGGCTGCTACTTCAGCCACATTATCTTTTATTTTCAATGTTCTGTAACAGTTTCCCAACCAGTCTGGAATATCTTCCCCCACCCCAATGCAGCAGCAAGGAATTAATTCATCCTGTGGCTTTTAAAGAGGCAACAATTTTTAAGGTTCATGAAGGAATTTTTTATGTGTCCCTTTTCTAGTACTCAAACATACACATACAAATATCTATATCAAAATTTTGTTAGTTTGTTTATATCCTGCCTTTATTATTTTTATAAATAACTCAAGGCAACTAAGATATCCAACACATCTTCATCATCCTATATTTCCCACACAACAACCCTGTGAGGTGAATTGGGCTGAGAGAGAGTGACTGGCCCAAGGTTTCTCAGATGGCTTTCATGACTAAGGCAGTAGCTGAACTCGTGGTCTCCTGCATTCTAGCCTGGTGCCTTAACCACTAGACCAAACTGGCTCCCATCTTTGTTCAAGAACTCAGGGCACATACCTACATAGTGCACCATTCTCCTATATTTCTTCACAACAACACTGTGAGGTAGGTTGGGCTGAAAATCACAAAGTGAGCTGCTATGGTTGCAGATGAAAAGACAAATTGGATCTTTCTGCCATCCATAACAGTTCTTGCCCATCCCTGTCTTCAATTCAATAGAGAAGCTGGAAAGACTCTAAACTGTTCTGAGGTGAGACTCTCAAAGTACAACTTTGTGGTTAAATACATACATACGTAAATACATACATACATACATACATACATACATACATACATACATACATACAATAATTTGGCATAATTATGCCAGATGAGAGGGTCATCATGGTCAAGAGAGAACACCAAACATTGGTGGGACATAGCAAAGAGACGAGATGGACATTAGAAAATAATGTTCAAATATTAAATCTACAGTATTTTAGTGACTGATAATTTGATTTTCCTCTTTTGGAAGAAATATAACTTTATTACTACTCATAAGCTATTATTAAGTAGAGTGCAGGTAGTGGTTGAAGAATCCATTAAGAAGTGGCAAATTATGTGTTATTCATTATGTTTTCACATTGAAAGAAGTACATTTGATTTTTACATGCTTCAGCTAAGCATCTACTTACTAAGTTGATTGCTTTTAATAGTTCTTAAACCAGCAAATTAAAATTTATTTGACTGGAAAAATGAAAACTAAGTTAAAAGCTAGGAATATATTTAAACATTATGGGTTACTAAAGAAATATAGTATCAAAATTACATTTTTTGTAACTGTATTTCATAAAATGCAGAACTGAAAAGGGTACAGAAAAGAAACAAAATAATTAGTTATCTGCAGAATACTTTTCTTTAAAAAAAGATATAGTGTTTAGAGATTCTCTTTTCATCTATCTGCCTATTATTTCTGCTGTTTGCTGTTTCAATTTGGCAAAATGGTGCATCACGGGGCAAAAATATTTTTAATCAACACACCTCAAAAGGGAAAACTTAAAGAATGCATCCAAAATACAAGATTCATTACTCCAGTGGGATTGAAATTTGGCAAAACTGTGGCTGCTTTAGTGCCATAACTGTCACACAATCGTCATTTCCAACACTGCCTGCCAGCTTTTCATAAGGAAAGTTAATGAGGAAGCTGGCAAGAAGTTGGAAGTCACTCCCACTCTCATGGCTTTTCTGCCCTGCTTTGTTTCCCTGTTTAGGTAAGGAAATATATTTGGAACAACTCAGGGGTGAAATCCAGCAGGTTCTGACAGATTCTGGAGAACGGGTAGTGGAAATTGTGAGCAGTTCATAGAACTGGTAGCGGAAATTTTGAGTAGTTCGGAGAACCTGCAAATGCCACCTCTGGCTGACCCCAGAGTGGGGTGGGAATGGAGGTTTTGCAATATCCTTCCCCTGCCATGCCCACCAAGCCACACC